GGGAGGGGTTTGTGCGGGGAGAAGGGTGCAACAATGAATGAATGGAATTCCAAAATCTCTGTAGATGTTCATTGAAATGAAAAATAAACAAACTAAATTTTTTAAAAAAGGTGTGTGCTATGAATAAATCATTAAATGCATAAAATTCTATTGTTTGCTCTTTAGTGGCATTCTGTCACCAAGTCTGTACTTTTTAACTGCGATTCTTATAAAAGAGTGGAGGGTCTAGACATAATGGAAGCAGGCCATATAAAATTAGGGGCAGAGATCAGAGTGCCAACATTACAAACCAAAGAATGTCAGCGACTGCCAATCACCACCCAAATCTAGAAAGAGGCTGGAAGGATTCAATGTGAGAGACAGAAAAAAAAAATGTTGGTCAAGTGGCTCTGTTTGAGGTACTCTGTTAGGAAATGACTATATGTCTGTCAGCTTTTTATATGTGTACTCATAATCTTTAAGTCATTAGAAATCATTCCATAAAATTAATTTGTAAAATGTAACTTATAAAGGGAGCTCTAGTGGCCTAGTGGCAAGAAGCTGTACTTGGAATCCTGAAGTCATGCGGTTCGAATCTACCAGATGCTATGCTGGAAAAGGAGGGGCAATCTCCTCCTGTGCCAGTTGGATCCAATTAATGCTACACAACAAGAAAAAAAAAATTAAATAAAATGTAACTTATATAGACTACGCATTCCGATAAATTCACTATGTTAATCCTTTGAAGAATGACTAAAACAACGATTAAATTTTTAAAGGCAGTTTGTCAAACACCAACTGAATTCTTACAAAAATTTCACAGAATGTGCGGTAAAATCAAATTGGACATGGACCTCATAATGGGATAATTAAATGCCTGATAGAATGTTTTACCAAATGAAATTTTTACATTATAAAAGTGTTTAATAATCTCTTTATAATTACAACTAAAAAAATATTTCAGTATATAGTCAAAGTAAAATGAAAATGATCATATATATATTTTGAAATGTCTTCAAAAAGACAAAGACACTTACAGTGGTCTTATCAAATTCAGCCTCTGATGATGTTGGCGATAGAGGACTTATGGGGCTTAGAGATGGGGAGCTTTCAACACTGGAAACATATTCGGGGTCAGGAACATATAAAACCTGTAAGGAAGCAACCACAAAAAGAGTTGATAAAATAAAAATGTTAGTTATTGTTTGCCATTGAGTCGGAACTGACCCATAGCTGATTTTCCAGTTGGTTTTCAGAAGCAGTAAATGGTTACTGCAGTCCACTGCCCATCCTTCTCCTGTGGAGCCTCTGGTGGATTCAAACCTTGTGTCTTTGGGACTACAGTGCAGCTTCTCACCACTAGGACATCAGAGCTCCATATATTAGTAATTAGATTGTATTCTATACCTTTTGACTTTAGGCAATAAATATAAAAAAATACTTTGATATTAAAAGTATAGTTATTATTATAAATCTAATAAAATAAAAAAGATATTTTTAAATCAATCACAAACATATATAGACATTTTAATATAGATGACTGAGTAAAGGAATATCAATTCTCCTACTACTTGGGATCCTCTTAAAGAATAATTTGATATAAGATTTGAAAATTAATATAAATTTTCTTTGACACAGCAACTGTACTTCAAGAACTTCATCATACAGAAATGCCTGCTTATATAAAAAAAACCACATGTAAAAGTATTCACTACAATAATGTTTACAACTGAAAAGGAAATTGTTTCAGTTTGCAACTTGACTAATAAACTCAGATCAACAATGCAATACTATCCACATGTTTGAAAAAAAATGAGAACTGTGCTTAAATAATAAATTTATTGTCCAATAAATGAATTAAGTTTTTAAAAAATTCTAGAATATTTCTGAAACAGGACTCAAACTGGTAATCAGTTGCTTCTGGAAAAGAAAATTAAAGGTCTGAAAGGGAAGAGTAATCTATAAAAGATTACGTTTTATTTCAACCTATCCCTTCCCACAAGAACATTATTAGTTTCAATATTTAAAAATATAATTAAACTACAATTCACAATTATATATTGGTATATTTATTAAGAAGGAAATGCATATAAATGTAAATGAGTTCATTTTTCTCTTACATAATCAATATAATCTCTTTGAGGAATTAATTGAATAATGCATCCCTAGTATTTTACATTATTAACAATATTTTAACAGACACTTTGCCTTGCAACTTAAAATTTATATTTTATATGTAGTTAAAAAATGTGTACCTGTCCAGTAACAACTGCTCGAGAGAATAACTTATTTAACTGCACAAGTTCATTGGGCGTTGTATCAAACTTCAAGGCTATACTGTTCAAAGAATCCCTGGATTCAACCTGTTTCAAAGAAAAGAACATTGCTTTAAAAGGTTCAAAATATACACAGCCTCAAGAAACACACAAATTTTATTTCAGCTAAGTACAACTGCTGTTTTCAGTTGCCACCAAGTTGGAAATGACACACAGCTGACACTCCAGGGGGTTTTTGGAGGCAGTAAATCCCCGACATCCTCCTCCCTTGGAGCAGCTGGAAGATTCCAACCCTGTCTTCCGCCTGGCAGTGGAACTCATTTCTGTGCAGGCCACTACAGCCTCTATTCTAGAAAATCTCAAAATGAAGATTTCTCTTAAACTCTCAGTACAGCCAGAAAGATAGATACATTAGGAAAAGTGTGAAAGCTTGATTCCTGTGTTTTCCATTAGACAAGTGAATGTGTACAGTCATCTTTGTTTTGGAAAAAGGTATTTGCAATGAATTAATCTGTCAACAAAGTCCCGTTTTCCAGCTACCAATTTTTCTGTTTCCAACTTTTGTATTCTGTTATTATTGTTATGTACTGTTGAGTCAATTGCAACTCATAGCAACCCTATGCACAACTGCCATGAAGCCTGCTCTATCCTGAGCCAATGTCATGGTCTCTGACACACCTCCCCCCAATACCCTTGTTTCTGTGGCAATCCATCTCATTCAAAGTCTTTCTGTTTTGTGCTGTCCCTCCAACTTTCCAAACATGATGTCCTTTTCCAAGGATTGGTCCCTCCTGGCAACATGCTTTCAAATGTATGTCATACAAAGATTCAAAATCGTTGCCTCCAAGACAATCTAACACTCTCCAGAACAAACCTCTTTGTTCTCCTAACAAAAAAGAAGGATGGATGGCAAAACTAATCAATCTCACATTAGCATTCTATATATCCTATTTACATATTTCTGCTCTGCTGGTCTAGTGGTAAGAAGCTGTGCTGCAACCCCAAAGGCACATGGTCCAAAGAGAAGCTTGGTAAAGCCATGTTAAGTAATGAAAGGGGAAACCAGATTGTGAGGGTTGAGGGATGAATTTAATGAAAGAGCTAAGGCATTTATTTGAGTTTGATAGTAATAAGAGTTCAAAATGCAAAGGAAGAGTATTGTGTTATTTAATTCCAGAACTTTCTATATCCTCCCACTTAAGACTGAAAACTTTTTGAAGGCAGGATGTTTCTGAGTCTTGTCAGGGACTTATTTATTTAGTTTTTAAAAAAAAATTTTTTTAAGGTACCACACGATTTCTTTTTTTTTTAATGTTTCACACAATCATTCCCATACATTGTGTTTTATAAAATAAATCATCATTGAACTATGCCCACTGTTACTCAATCTTTTCAGGTCCCCAGTAGAACTCTGCCATTTCTTTTACTCCCATGTTTCCCCACCAAATTGTACAACTCTGTGATTTTGCCCCTGCCCACACTCACTCCTCTGCTCCCACCCCTTACCTCCACTCTAGGATCTCCATATACAGTTTACTAGTTATCTTTCTATTTTGACCCAGCATAATGATCTCCAGTCTTTCGCCAAATTATGTAGTTGTTGTGTTGTGTCTGGTTTGTTTGTTTTTTAAATAACGCTCCTGAGTGCTGCATAGTACTCCATTGTGTCAATGTACCACAATTTCTCAGTCCATTTGGCATGGCTGGACATTTGGTGAATAACACTTCTAAGAACTTTGGTGTACAAACCTCTGTTTGGGTCTCAAATCTAATTTCCTTGGGGTATATTCCTATTAGTGGAATAGTTGCATTCCTTTACCCTTGTACTCTTGTGTGGTTTACTACTGCACACTTTACTGTCTCTGAAAACTTGCTGGAGGGTCATCTAGTTCTAACTTGATGTCATGTAACAACAACCACCACCCAAAAGGCATTAATTACTTTCTTTTGTACTTGTTTCATCTTCTTTTGATGCTTTCCACATTATCCAGTATTTTACTTAGGTTGTTGTTAAGTGCCATGCTGTTGTCAACCATGACTCACAGCAGCCATATCAAAAGCTGACATGAAGAGAAGTCAATCTCACCATCCCTCCTATCCTTGAACTCACTGCCCTAGGCACTGTGTTAATTCATTTTATTGAAGGTCTTCTTCTCTTTTGCTTACCCTCCATCATTCCAAGCATGATGTTCTTCTGCTGGGACTAGTCTCACCTACCAACATGCGTAAAGTATGTGAGAAAGAGTACCAATATCCTCCCCTCTAAGAAGCACCCTGGCTGCACCTTCTCCAAGACATAAGTGTTCTTTTCATGGGATCTCCAACCCCATAACTCAAAGGCATCTATTCTTCTATTGTCATCTTGAGTCAATGTCCAGCTCTCAGATGCATAGGAAGTAAATGAAATGATCATGGCTTGAATCAGGTGCATATAAGTTTTTAAGCTAACAGAGTTACTCTTTGGTATCTTGGAGAGGTCCTGGAGCACAGACTTTCCTAACAACCTGTTGTTTGTTTTTTTTTTTTTTAATTTCTGGACTGCTGTTACCAAGCATGTTGACTGTGGATCCTCTTAAGATGTAACCTTTAACCACTTCAATCTTTTCTTCATCTGTCATGATAATACCTACTGGTCCTTCATGTTGCAATATAGTAAAAGTTACAGTCTTTGTCCTTCTGCAGTAAATGCCTCAGGTCCTCCTCACTTTCAGCAAGCAATACTGTCTGATCTGCATACCGCAGGTGGTGGTTTAGTCTTCCTGATTCGAATGCCTCATTCTTCTTCAAAGATTCCAGCTTCTCAAATGATATGCTGTGCAAACAGATTGAACAGGTAAAGAGAAAGGATATAGCCCTGATGTACAACACTCATCCTGATTTTAAACCATGTTCTGTTAAGACAACAGTCTCCTGGTCTAGATAAAGGTTTCACATGAACACAATTAAGTGCCCTGGGGTTTTCATTCGTCTCAATGTTATCTACAACTTGTTATGATCCACATAATCAAATGGTTTTCCATAATCAATAAAAGCACAAATAGGCATTCCTCTGATATTCCTTGCTTTTCGGTCAAGATTCATCTTATAACAGCAATGATATTCCTGATGCCATGGCCTCTTCTAAATCCACCTTTAAACATCTAGCCATTTTCTGTTGATGAACTTTTCTAACTGTGTCTGGATAATTTTTCAACAAGATTTTGCTTTTGTGTGATATTAGGGACATTGTGTGGTAATTTCTACATTCAGTTGGATCACCTTTTTTGGGAATGGGGACTGATATAGATCTTTTCCAGTCAGCTGGCCAGGTAGAATCTTTCAATACTGTAAGGTAAGACATGAATACTTTTGTTTTCCAGTTCTTCCAGCTTAAAAAGTGCTATGTGTTCTTTCTTTTTGTTGTGTTATAATATTTTGCTTTTGTCTTCTGGAATCTCTTTATTTTATTTATTTTAATTTTTTTTAAGCTAAAGAAGCTTTATTAAGAGGGTTCCCGGGCAGGATTCCTTGGCCTAGAGAGACAGACCGACCAGAGGAAAACCATGTCCTAATATTAATTAAGGCAGGTTTTTATAGTACGGGTTTTTAGGGAGGTGATAGAGGGACATCCCATTGTGGTTTAGCCTGGTAGGTGGTCTTCTAGGGAGGGTAGGGAGGGGCACTCCATGGTAGTTTAGTCAGATGGGCGAGGCTCTTCACTCCTTTTAACCTGTTGATATTCTTTGAATCCTTCAGTCTCCCTTTGACCATGGTCTGGGATTGACATCCCAGCCTCTTTAGTGAGAAAAACGGCAAGGTATTTTTCTTAGTTACTTCCTGCTGAACAGAGGTGAAGATCTGGGGCTCAGAGGCTGGACTGGGCTGGCTCAGGACCAGCAGCCAGGGGAGAATGTGGATGTCACAGCAGCTGGTTGAAGCTGGTGATTTCTTTTATCCTGTGAAGGAAGAAATAAAAAAAGGCAGGGAATGATTAATGTCAATATGAAGAGCTACCCAGGGGTTGGGATCTGAGTGAGGTGAAGAATAGTGGGGGTAGCGATTAGTAACAATATGAAGAGCTACGTAGGGCTTGGGATTTGAGTGAGGCAAAAAATAGTGGGGCCCACCATTTGAGAGGTGTAGGAGGTCTGCTCTATGAGAGGGGCATGTTTGACCTAGGAAAGGTGGTGCTACTGGGGGTTACTTATGACCTTAACTGCTCTGAGGGTAGTTAGGACGACTGTGTAAAGTCTGTCTTAGAGTGGCTGAAGAAGTTTGAGTGCACACCATTTGACAAGGACAGCATCTCCTTCTGGAATTTTGTTTAAATCTTAAGTTTAGGTCCTTTTCTCCATCATTTCTTCCATTCATTTTAGCTAGCGTACTATCAAGAACAGGTTTCGGAGTCTTTTGTGGCATCCACTTTGGTCTTTTCCTTTTAAAGAATTTCTGCTTTTTTAATGTATGGTGTCCCTGATGTCATTTGGCAATCTGTCTGGTTCCTGAAAATTAATATTGACTTCTTTGATTATGCTGTTGTGGTGGTGTATCATAGAGTCTGATCCAACCCACTGCTGACCCTCCGGCGGGTTTCCAGAGGCAGTTAACTGCATGGGAGGAGACTGGCCATCTAACTCCCACGGAGCAGCTGGGGACTTTAAACTGCATGCCTTTGGTAGGTATTGCAGCCCAGCTTCTTGCCACTAGGTCACCAGAGCTCCCTGGCCTATCCCACCTGAATTTAAAGACTACCACATGAACAGACTGTATGCATTCAATGTTAATGACCAAGGACCAGAGGAGGCATCAATGGCACACAAACAACCTGCCTTATCCTGCACCACCTTCATCATCTCTGATATGCTCAAGCCCACTGTTACAGTCCATATGTAAACCTATGTTGTTGAAAATTTTCCACCTTTTCTCTGGCCCTCTAGCTTTCCAAGCATGATGTCTTTTTCAAAGGACTGGTCCCTCTTGATAACATGCACAAAATATGTGATATGAAATTTCCCCATCCTTGCCTCCGTGAAGCACCCTACTTGCACTTTTTGCAAATCTGTTCCACAGATTTGCTTGTTCTTTTAACAGTCCATAGGATATTCAGTACTCTTCTCTTACTCCACAATTCAAAGGTATCAATTCTACTTCTGTTCTTACAGGTGTATGAATATCATCTTTTCACGCCAAGAACTGTACTATAGATCTTGAAACATTCTTTTGCATGATCAATATGATTATTTCTTTTTTACCTGTCACCACTGGCATAGATGAGCAACTGACTGCTTCACTCAAAATGTTCAATACTATCATACCATTTCAAAAAACCAATGCCTAAGCTTTTAAAAAATTCCGTTTCACTTTTGACAATTTCTAATTTCTTGGATTCATACTTTAAACATTCCACATTCCCTCTGTTAACGGAAGCCTGATGCCATTTCTTCTCAATTTGAGCCATACCACATGAGCAAATGAACATCACTGAAGCTTCCCTTCACCCACACCACTAAGACAAACTCTGCTTTGAGAAAACAATTTACAGGTCACATTTTTAGTGTCTTAAAAACCTTGTAAGTTCATTTTCTTAGACTGTGTTAGACAATGTCCAGCTGCTTTTCAGAACATTTTGAGAATCAGATGATCAGGTCCTTCTTCCTTACCTATCTTAGTGTGGAAGGAAGCTCTGCCAAAACCTATCCATCACTGCTTACCCTACTTGTATTTTAAATAATGTGACAGAGTGCAGCATCACAAGCTACATTCAGGTCAACACAAAATAACGAACGTTAACAGTCCTTAATTCAAAGTTAACATCAGTAGATATGTTGTCATGATATGCCGTCAAGTCTACTACGACTCAAAGCAACCCTATGAACAACAGCTCTGAACTCTGCCCTATCCTGAGCCAAATCTCACTGTCACATTCACAGAGTTAATACATCTCATTCAGGGTCTTCCTCTCCTGCACTGACCCTCCAGGATTCCAAGCACAGTATCCCTCTGCAAGGACTGACCCCTCCTGGCAGCATTCCCAAAATATGTCAGATGGAGTTTCACAGTTCTTGCCTCCAAGAAGCAACCTGATTTCACCCTCTCCAACACACACCTGTTTATTCTCTTGGCAGTCCATGGTATGTTTAATACTCTTTTCCAGGATCACAACTGAAAGGCATCGATTCTTCTTCTGACATCATTATTCATTATCCAGCTCTCAGATAAAATGCAAGTAATTGAGAAGACCATGGCTTGGACCCGGCACACCTTAGTCTCCAGAATGACACTGTTGCTCATTAGCAATCTAGGGAGGTCCCTGACAATAGACTTTCCCAAAGCAACTTGTCTGTTAATCTCCTCTTGACTGTGGGCCTGAGCAAGATGAAATTGTTAATAACCTCAAATTTTTCTCTGTCTATCATGATGCTGTCATTGGCCTGGTGGTGAGAATCTGTCTTCTTCAAGTTGAGATGCAATCCTTGAAGACTTTAGTCCTTGACCTTATGCAGCAAATGCAACAGGTCATCCTCACTGTTGGCAAGCAAGACTGTGTCATCTGCATAACACAAGTTGTTGATGAGTCTTCCTCCAATCTTGATAATACATTCTTCTTCATAGAGTCTAGCCTCCCAAATGATCTGTTCAGCATATAGACTGAAAAGGTATGGAGAAAGGATACATCTCTGACACATTCCTTTCTTGATTTTGAACCATGCAGGGTTTCCTTGCTCTGTTTTGACAAGCGCTTCCTGGTTTAAGTTTCATATGAACACAATCAAGTGTTATGGGATTCTCATTCTTCTCAAGCTTCGTCACAATTTTTTGTGATCTACATAGCCAAATGCCTTAGCATAGTCAATAAAATACAAATCTACAACCTTCTGGTACCCTCTGCTTTCAACCTAGTTTCATTCGACATTGGCAATGATATCCCTAGTGCCACTGACTCTTTTAAACCCAGCTGGTATTTCTGGCAGTTCTTTGTCAATGTACTGTTACAGTCAATTTTGGATAATCTTCAGAAAGATTTTGCTTGTATGTAATATTAGCGATATTATTAAGTAATTTCCATACTATGTCAGATCACCTTTTTTGGAGAATAGGATAAATATGGTTCTCTTCTAGTCTCAGTATGGACAGCACAGTTTAATAAAACGTTGAACTGCATGCAAAGAACAGCAAACATCTCTTTCAAAACCACATGAACTGTACAGATATATCTGTGTATAGATCTTACATCTAATAAATTTATATTTAGTAAACACCAACAGACATCAAATTATAGAGCCTAATATTTTACTATATTTGAAGTTATATTAAATTCTAAATTATGCAGATAAAGCACAATCGTATTCAAGTTTTTAACATGCTTTAAGAGGTTCTTCTAACAATGGTAAATTGAATTCTAACTCCTACAATTTCTAATCTTTATCAGTATATGAAAATAAAGCATAACTCAATGTTTTCATAATTTGTCAAACATTAATGATTCAATAAAATGACTACACTTCAAATCAAGAATATATTTTTAAATTTATGCATAAAGCTATGCTGCCTTAATACTACTATAGTTTAATAATATTAATACTACTGTAGTTTAATAATATGATTTATTAGCCAAGTTCAAATCTTAAATTTAAGTTCAGTTAATATAACTGCCTTCAAACATGTAAACATTATCTAAAGATATGACAAGTTATGTTCAGTGAAATGAGCATACCACACACTACAGTCTATTCCTCACTTTAGTTTCCCATGGTAACCAGAAATCTGAAAAGCTGACTGCAGAGAGATTTGAGGGTCATTTCAAGAACAAAGCAGTCAGATAAAAAGTTCCATTTTCAGAGCTAAAAAGGCAGCTATAAATCAATGCAAATACAAGAAAGATACTCTGAATGATTAATGTTAATTCATCTTCTCAGTTTTTTATTTGCCACTTTTATCATCATTAGCACTATCAAAAATGTAATGAAGATCAACCACATTTCTAAGAAGTAAATATTTTCCTAAAAGCCTAACCTAATGAAAATCAGTTATACAGAAACTTCAAGAAAATGATAAATTATAAACAACTAAATTTTCCATGTAACTACCTCCATATTATACTTAATATCTTTTTCTGGAAAATATGTTAACTGTATAGGAATTTAGTTCTTATTAAGAAAATTATTAAAAATAAAGTACAAATTTTTATATAAATCAATAAATAACCTTTGACTATGGCAAACACAGAGAAAATCTTTAAAAAGTATCACAAAAATAAACTGACTTTTCAAAAGCAAATAACTTACGGTATACTCAATAGTCCCTTTAGGCTTCTGAAAAGACATTCTTCTCCCATCTTTCTTGTCTAAGGTCTTCTTTTGGCCCGTGTCTGAAAAAAATTGAGGCATAAATCTTGTCAAATTCATTTTCTTTCAGAGTAATGTCAAAGACTGCTGAATAGAACTCATTGGACAGGTATTAATTCAAGTTACACAGCTTGCTCTCTGTGAGTCTCTGCTCTATAAAAACAACCAACTATAAAAAAAGGAAATGTACTCTCTCTCACTGATTGCTTTAAAATTGACGAGTATGAATCAGTATAATAACTGGATGTCAACACAAAAAATTATGGTTCCTTCTTTCCATGTATTTAACTCTATTGTAATCAATTTTATGTGAATACAGGTATCTAATAAATAAACACAAACATATGTAATTACATAAAATCTAATATTAACTAAAATAAGTCTGAAAGGCATAATAGAAGTCATCATGGAGGATAATTTATTTATGTCCAAAAGCCACAGTTAAAAATAGTCTTTTCAGAGATTACTTTACAGCTATTATATTTATTTACATAACACAAAGTAAATCAAGATATCAGATATATGCCTTTGTGCATTTCAATCAAGAAAATTACCAAGTATTTCTCAGGTGCTTCTCAAGACATTTAACTGGAGCACTTCTTTATTACTTATATCTCACAATTACAGTTCCTGTCATAGTGGGCTTTACCTTGCTTTGGTGTTAACCCTCTGCTCCATACTTAATATAACAACTGCACATTCATCTCCTAATAGGCTATTTAAGAACTGCAAATAATAACAGTCTTTGAAAATACTGGCACTATCGAACAATTGTCAAATTATGTTGTATTAATCTTCAAAATTTTACAAGATTAAAACTATAGTTATCAAAGACATAATGTTTTCGTTGTTGTTGTTGTTATGTGCTGTCGAGTCGCCTGTGACTCATAGCGACCCTATGTACAACAGCCCTAAACTCCGCTCTGTCCTGTGCCAATCGCACTGTCTCTGACACTCCCATCCCAATTATT